GGGGGGGAGGGGGATGTGTACAGTATGTTAGGAGGGGCTGGACCGCGGTAGGGCCAGTATTCGTCCGTTGGTCTTTCCCCCGTTCATGTGTGTGAACGGGATGTGGTGCTCCTCGTAACTGCCCCTCAGGCCCATGGAGGAGGCCTCGTCCCTGTCCAAACACTGTTCCCTTTGGGAGTAGGACGACGGGTCCAGCGGGATGCTTTCCATGTTTTCCATGTCTAGGTCAAAGTCTTCGCTCTCCGGCGGCTTGTTCTCCTCACTGTAGAAGAAGGAGACCTCCTGGAAGGTCGGATGCAGGTCCTCGCGTAGCATCTCAATGATCTCCTGGAAGGCGGGACGCATCTTGGGGTTGTACTGCCAACACATCTGCATCAGGTTGTGTCTGCGGGAGGGACAGAGGGAGAGTGGGCTCATGGTTAAATGATACTGATGTGGGAATTTGTGTTTGTTAAGTATAACGATTATTCTCTTTAATAACATACTTATTTCTTGTTAACAAAGTTGTCTGTCTGATGTGGTTAAGAATACCTAATTTAATACAATTTACCTATAATACCAAATGTGTATTAATCCCCATTAAAAACACACTTTAGTTTCTAAGTGTCGAAATCTACTTTGCTTTAAAATTAAACTGTACATCTGTTAACTTTTGTTTCTTTAAGATTTACATATTTGGGCTGTCAGAGAACATATTGAGACATAAACTCATTGTTGGCTTTAGTCTTTTCATAGGACTCACTGATGAGGAAAATACAGAACATCGCCCCCTTTATCCTTTAATACACTTAATATTTACTGATTATTTTACTGATTATTTTACATCATTTGTACTTCATCCTGATATTGTCCTGTTTCTACATATTGTAATTTTGATTCTTCAGTCTACTCTGTATGTACGGCCTCAATTACATGTCTCTAAGTCCTGATCCCTCTTCTGTGGTTTCTTATACTTTTCCTGTTGTACAAATTAATACTGCATTTTCTCTCTCTTCATCAATCAGTTGTTCATTTGGCCTATAAAATGCCAGAAAACAGTGACAAATGTCTATTGTATTCTTCCACTACAGTGCAAAACCTAAAGACATTCAGTTTACAATGATATGATATGATAGATTATAATATAATATGATATAAAACAGAGAGGATCAGCTAATTCTCACGTGAGAAAATGAGATCAATATAGTTCATAAATTGTCTCAGGGAGTCTAAAATAACTAAATAATTAAAATCCAACCATCTCTCAGCCCTTATCTAACCTCAGCCCTGCTCTTGTACTCACAATCTGTCAGCGCAGTTGTCCGGCCGGTCCAGGTAGCCTCCGTCCATGACAAACTTGAGGACCTGCTCGTTGGACAGGCCCTGGTACGGCTGCTCGGCCAGCGTGCTGATCTCCCACAGCACAACCCCAAACGACCTGGCAAACAGGAGGCGGACGAGAGACAACAACAGCAACAAAGGGAAAATGAGGACAGGCCGGTTAAGAGACCTGACAGAGTAAATCTGTCTGTAAACACTTGAACAGGGAGACCGAGGACAGAGGCGGCGGCTGAAACTCCGGTAAACAACGGATGAAAACAGGTTCGCTACACACTCTTCTGTTCTGATCTCACATTTAAAAACATCTATTATTTGTTATTATTGTCTGGTTTTATGACTAGTGTTGCTCTGGGAAGAAAAAAATGGACTCAAAAGGAAATGATTAGCCTTTGGAAAAAACCCATTTAAAAACTATATTTGGAAAGTAGGGAAAATGGTATTTTATGAAGCTACTACTGATGAGCTAGACTCACAACTCTGACTGAGGACTTTCTCTAATATGGCAGAGGTGTCACTGACCAGCAGTCTGAATTTGCAGTGAAGACTCCGTCCTTCAGAGACTCGGGTGCCATCCACCTGACGGGCAACAGGCCCTTCCCTCCCTTCCTGTAGTAGTCGGTCTCGTAGATGTCTCTGGTCATACCAAAGTCTGGGAAGAACAGATGATTTTCATTAGTTATTATATGTTTGTAAGGGGATTCATAAACTCAAATGTGTCATTGAAGTATTTTTCCTAAAGCTTCTCAGTGTCACTTTAAATATATATAACGTTCTTTTTTATTTCACTACAAATGCAGAATAAATAAATGGGTTATAATGGCTATGTCCGAATTTAAAGCCACTTTAGCGGCTGCATAGACAGGACAGAAACTAATGCATCCAATAAACACAGTGTACAACATGTCCAGTGAAATAAACAATTAAACTTCTTCCGCTTTATGTGGCACATTTTATCGCTCCTTTATTTATATAAGCATCGTCAATTACTGATGCAGGAATCCTTCATAGCTGTCCACAAATTTAACCAAAAAGCTTTTTTTTTTATTGGACAAATACATCAGTGTTTACGACACTTTGGTCTTCCATCTTGTATCTCCTCATATCGACCACAGGACAAAATAAACCCACCTGCACATATCGACTGGAAACTTACCTCCTATTTTGACGGTGAGATCGTGAGCTACCATGCAGTTTCTGGCCGCCAGGTCTCTGTGGACAAACTTCTTGGCGTTAAGGTAAGCCATGCCGTCTGCGATCTCAGCCGCCATTTGGATCATCTCCTTCAGAGTTGGCGGCGGACGCCCGGGGTTGTTCTGAGGGACACAAGACAGATTGAGTCAAATTTTACTAGTTAACACACACTGTCATGTCAACAACTCATGATTTCGTGTTGATTTGGAGCCCAAGTTTTGATATTTTTGTCATCACACTTGACTTCAACAGCTTAGTAGCAACTGTTTTTTCAGTCCTTTTTGCTTTTTTAGCAGACTTTAGTGCCGACAGCTCAAATCCTCTGTCAACACCTATCCTCCTATTCCAATCCAAGTGCCACCTGTATGTTTACACACTTCAGAAGGTGACACACTACAAGTCATCATATCAAAAGTAAATTCAATGTGAAATAGTAACTGAAATGTAATGGTAACTGAAAAGGTACAGCAGTTTCAGCCCCTCATCTAATTAAATTACATTTGGTACATGTGATCCAGAATCTACAACATTCTGGCGCTAAAAAAAACAGCAGATGGAGTCAAATGTGTCGTCAGGAAAGTCTCTCTATTTATTGTGTTAACTGCCTCTTAATTTAAACACTGACGGATTTAAACTGTTCTGTATTTGTAAATCTGAGCCTTCAGCCCGCTGCAAACTGCAAACCACAGTACTTGTAAAGTAGGTTAAGTGTATATGTATAGCACCTTGCAAGATCAGCCGTCACACTGTGCCAAAGTAGATGTTAACTTTTGTCAATAAGAGCAGCAGAGTGACAATTAGTACAGTGTAACACTATATGTGTAAACCACTGAGCTGTTTTTATGCCTTATGCATTGTAAAAGTGCTTTTGCATGCATCAGAAATGTGCATACTGATATAAGAAATGCGACAATTTACCTACATAAAATGCAGAAGTGAAAAGAAGAAGCGCAATGACAGAAGCGTTTCTACATTTATAATGTTGCAAATTCAACCTAAAACAAACTTGAGCAAAATTCGAAACTCTTCGGGTTGTGATTGGGGGGGGGGG